TGTGGCTAAGAAGCTGCCCCCTTGCTCCTGTGCGGTTACTTGATATGCCGCTGTTGGTTCAGTCTGGCGCCTTATGGAAGGGAGCCTGGCTTGAGTGGGCATTGAGTGAGCTGAGTGAGCAAAAGCATGAAAAGGTGAATGCAGAGGCGGCTTCTTGTGTTTGTCTTCATTTGAGACAGGGCCTTGCTGTGTTACCTAGGCTGCCTGGCTGGCTTTGAACTCTCAAGCTTCTGGCACTAGAAGCATACACTACCATATCCACCTTATTTTTGTTCTATTTAGGGGTTTTTAAAAAATACTACTTAAGAGCTGGGGAGTGAAGGTGCAGGCCTTTAATCCCAGCACTGGGTAGGCAGAGGCAGGTGGATATCCATGACTTTGAGGCCAGCCTGGTCTACAGAGTGAGTTCTAGGACTATACATGGTGAAACCCTGTCTCAAAAACAAAAAAACAAAAGAAAGAAAAGAAAAAACCTAAGAGGCTCATGTGGATGTTTATAGTATTTATCACCCAGCTCTAGGTTACGGATATTTTTGGGAGAGGTTTTGTTTCTGCTTTGGGATCAGGTCTTGTGTAGTCTAGGCTGGCCTTGGCCCTGTAATCCTGCCTTAGCCTCATGGTGTTGACATTTCAGGTGTGTATACTCAAACCTGGCTTATCCAGTGCTTAAAGCATGTCTCTGTACATGGCTTTAAATTTAGAAATTTAGCTGTATTTCTCAATTACTGACATTTTGGAAATAGATGAGTATTTTGTGATTTGGCCATCTTTAGGTAGGTGCCACCCCCTCTTTGTGACAACAGACATTGCTCATTATCTCCTGGGGACATGTTCTGTCCCTAGTTGAGCATCAAATGTTGTAACTAGATAACCTTAGTTTAAAAAGAAAACAGCGTTGGTGGTGCCTGCCTTTAATCTCAGCATTTGGGAGGCAGAGGCGGGAGGATTTCTTTGAGTTGGAGGCCAGCCTGGTCTCCAGAGTGAGTTCCAGGACTGGCCCCAAAGCCACAGAGAAACTGTCTCAAACCAAAAAACAGCAGCAACAACAAAACAAAAACTTCAGGTAAAAAATATACCTGAAGAATGTTGTTACTACAACAGAATAGTCTTCCTTAATTTCTTGGTGTCTAATCTGCCTAAGTTTTGTTCTGTCTCTAGAATGTCTTGTTTCAGTAAGGTCCAAACCCCAAATTTGGTGTTTAACTCACTTATTTTTGTGTTTGTGCAAACACGGGACAACTTTCATTCGAGAAGTCAGGTCTTTCCAAAATTGGTTTAGGGGCTTGAACTCAGGATGTCAGAGTTGTAGAGTTTGGTTTGGTCCGCACAGTTTGTCCTGTCAGTTTTATTTCATATTCCGTCTCCACCTCCTGATGCTGGTTGTTGAAGTAGCGTGGTGGTTGTGCAGTCTCCATGTTAGAGTCGCTTCATTGTATCCCTCTGCTGCCAGCAGGTAGCACACAACCAGTGCTTGAGTCCTAACTTAACTGTCCTTGTCTATCCACTGCCTGCGGGGAGGGTGTGGCTTGGGGAGCACCTTGGGGATCTTGCCTTCAGCCACCTGCCCAGTGCTCAGATGACTCAGACTCGGACCTGCCTGTTTTTCTCCATTCCTGGGATGTGTCTTGGGGTCTGGAGCATGTGTGTGAACATCCATCCGTCCTCCCGAATGAAGGACAGGCTTTTCAGACTGGTGGGGTGTGGTGTGGTGTGGTGTGGTGGGGTGGGGTGTGGTGTGGTGTGGTGTGGTGG